GTTGTGGGGTAAGGTGTGCAGAAATCAAGAAGACAAACCATGTATCCTAGACGTTCAGTTCACCAACCACAAGCTAAATAACCATAAACAACCTACTCCAGTAGTAGATCCTAAAGGAACATAACACACCTAAAGCTTTCCAGAATTAAATACCATATGCCTATGAGAAATCTTAGGCGACCTGCAGTAAACAAGAACACTTGTTCTACATAGGATAGTTCTCAAGTGACTGAGAAACCTGAAATGGCAAATGCATGCAAGTAGGAAGTGTATTTTTGCCTGTAAGAAGTTCCCATTTCTAATTTCATCCCTGAAAGCAACCAAACATAATAGATAAAAAAGATCTAGAAAACTAATTTAGAATGTTATCTGGGCAACATAAAAAGAGCTAAATAAAATAAGAAGTCTTTAATTCAGGCTGGGAGTGTAGGAACTCCAACATACAGACATCTGTAAATTAAACTGGCTATGAAAGACATGTATACGGACAATCAGTGTCATTCCATTGAAAACCATTCCAAAGCCCTACAGTGCAAGCAGGTATTATAATAGAAAACATAAATAGATACTGAACAATTCTCTAGAAATTATACTTTTAACACAGTAAACCACTGAAAAAACAGTAATTCCTCATGTAACCAAAGAAACAACAGTGCATTAGCTAAGATATCGAAAATTCTTCCTTCAGTCTTTGAAAGAGCATTCTACAGTTACTGTTAGAAAATACTGTATTTAGTACTGCTGTCAATTGCCACAAAAATACAGTAAGTGGAAGTGAATATCTCATCAGAAAATGCTTCATCAAAGTGATTAATCACAGAAACCCAAGTCTTAACAACTCAAAAGTTTTGTATGAAGAAAGACCCCCTTCCAAAACCTTGCTATGACAAAGAAAGGCAGCAGCAGTTGTGTCAATCTGCTCTTGGGGGTGTGAGCCAACACCTGCCCCTACATTCAAAAGGCGATGCACCCCAAGCAGGCAGGGCTCCCACAGCATGGGCCACACCAAAGTCTGCAGCAGGGAGTGCTCCCAGCTGAAGGCTCCAAGGAACCTGGGGCAGAGTGCTGTGAGAGGAGTCTGACCTGCTGGGAAGAAGGAAGTACACTTTATCGCATTCCTCTCCCTTTAAAAAAAAAGTTACTAGGATGATAAAAAGGAACATGTTCTTCTTATTTCCATACCATTTGAGACCTACTTTTCTACTGCTAAGACCTTGCTTTGAATACAGAACTACTGTTTTTTCCATGTTGATCTTACTAGTGCTCATTATTTCAATACTCAACTAAGCCATAAGTTCTGTGGGTGACAGGATACTTTTACAGAAGAAAAACTGAACCAGAGAAATTAAGGACAACTGCACCTGCTAAATGCAGCCACTGCAACTCAGATACCTACATAGAGCATATACATGAGCTCACTGTACACACAATAACCTCAATTACACATTCTTTTTTATCCCAGTTTCTTTTTGTGTCAGCAACATAATATTAGCAATCCTTTATTAAGTCCAAGTGATTAATACACCATAAACAAAGAAATCTGTCATAAATGCCACACTCTGATACTGCATTCAACTGCCTCAACAATTACACCAACTTCTTACCTGCCTTCCTGATCAACAACTTATTTATAATTATTATATTTACCATAGGATCATATTCAAAAGCTGCAACAAGAGGTTCTGCAGATAACATTGCTTTCTTTTATTAGACAATTCTGATTTTCACTTCAAGCAAATCCCTCTTGCAGAACAGGCACCAGAGCAGCCCTGGGGAAGCAGCAGTGTGCAGACAAAATTGCAAAACAATGTGGGGGGATGATAGAAAAGTCCTTGATGATACTTTCAATATGACTTGGGTTTCTGACCATGTTTTTTTTCTGTGCTTCTGAGTATACAATCTTCTAGACTTAAACTCTATGAAGACAGGAAAAGACCATCCACAAGGAGGGAGAACTCTATTTTCCATTCTAGTATCCTAGACAAAAGCTGCTAGCAGAGCATTTTTCTTGCAACCCTAAGATCATTTGTTTTGTCATTTGTGCATGCAGAATCTCACATGAAAACTATGAAGATAACTAAGCAAGTTCTTTACATGTGAATCAGTATGTACTCATTGAATATTAAAGTCTCTGAACATAAACAAACCACACTTTTTAGATATGTCACTTCAAAAAGTTTGGCTAAGCTTTTAAATTATAGAAAAAATTGGATCTAATAGATTTTTTTACATACTTACTCCCCCTTCCCCCAGCTGTTCCAAAGGAACATATTTATGCTCAAAAAGATAGAGGGAAGATCAATTTTAAGCAGATTTCAAAATATTTTCACCATAGTAAGGGAGGCTACAACGCAGCTAAACTGAACAAGGCTTAACAGTTAAAATAGACAGCCTAAGGCATGGAATCTTTTAGTACAACTATACAGCCTCAGAAAGTTACTAGCAAATGAAAACAGGATCTTGCAATAGGAAGTGTTATGCAACCCTTGCAGTATGCAGTGCTAATTTTGTATTAGAAATCCTATGTAACTCAAATACGAAGATGAAGAAAAAATGTCATTTAAGAGCTTTTTAGTTCTCCAGAAATAAAGCACAACTTGAGAAAGAGTAATGCTAACAAGGAATAGTATTTTAGAGCTTTAACAAACTGAATTCCTATTATGGATGCAACAAGTATGCATTGACACAGAGATCATCACTGCATGAACACAAAAAAGAGCTGATCAAAGACAACCTTGGTAAAATATCCTGCTGGCTCAAAGACAACATTACTGACACTTCACACAGGTCACCAAACAGCTTTCAGAGATACCGCTTTAAGTCTTCCTGCATCTGCAATTTAAAAAAACCCCTGACGTTCCCTTCCTCCTTGTAAAGTTAACTATTCCATAATATTCTGCCCCATGCACAAGCCTCGGTTACAACGCAAAAGCCATCCCCCACCTGTCTGCCACTTATACCCAGTAACAGGTACATCCACCTCAGGCCCCTTCCAAAAGATCCACGTGCTCAGGAACTACGACCTGAGGACAGAGGCCACTGCAGGAGTCACTTGCAGTCACCCACGGGTTCATCGCAAAAAACACCGAAACGCAGACGGGATTCACACTCCCGCTAATGGCCATGCTGGGATGAGCCCCATCGCTCAGGCACCGCACTACCTTTAGTACCGCTCCTGTCACGCCGCCTGTGACAAAGCCTGGAACAAAGACGCGAATCTTCGGTACCGGGAAGAGAGCGGAGGGGAGAAGAAATCCCGCTTCTCTCCGTCACGAGGAAGTTGCGAGCGCACGCGGATCCCTCCGTCCATAGAGGAGGATCCACAGCTTCCAACGGGAGAAGACAGGAATGCCGGTGCTAGATGGCACGGCAGCCACCACCTTACGGCGGGCAGGGGCGCAGAGGAGCCGGCACCGGGGCGCCGGTCCCGCCAGGACCCCCCTCATCACCTCAGCCCGCTCCCCCACCCAGCGCCACACCGCAGCGGGTTCGCAGGGAACACCCGCCCCGCAGGGGGTTCAGCCCCGCGGAGAAGCCGCCGCCCGGCCTCCGCGGAGAGGGCAGCGGGAGACGCGCGGAGCG